TTAACACCATTGAGCAGGTAACCTGGGCCTGCAAGTTGTATCTCAGGAATGATCCTAAGAATTGTCAACTACCCCCGTAAATACCTGCTATTCAACATCGAGGGACCTACCCTGGGTCCTGGGGAGGACTGGCAAATTGACTCCACCAACATGCCCCCTTGCTAAGGATTCGAATTTTTATTAGTCTTTATAGACACATTTACAGGCTGAATCGTAGCCTTTCCTACTAGGACAGAAAGAGCCTCTGCTCAGTTTGCAAACTACTCCTAAAGGAAATAATTCCTAGCTGTGGCCTCCCCTGACTCCTTCAAAGTGACAATGGGCCCTCCTTTACCACGCAAGTCTCTTAAGCCATAGAATCAGACTTAGATATTAAATACAGACTCCATTCCTCTTGGAGACCCCAAACCTCTGGAAAAGTCAAATGAGCAAAGCAATCTTTCAAAAGAACACTTGCTAAACTTTGCCAGGAAATAGGTCCTAAATGCTTAACCTTACTACCCATTGCCCTTGTGAGACTTCAGGCCACCCGGAGAACTGCATTAAATATCATCCCCTTTAAAATGACTTACGGCCATCCTTTCCTAACCTCTGACTTACTCTTTGACTTTGACACATAATAACAACTCAAATAAATTATTAAGGGTAACAAATTCCAACAAGCCCTGTAGGAGTGGGGGACTAAAGTATTCCCCACCCGCATCAAAGTAGCAGCCCCGCTATTCCACCTGGTACTCTAGTTTTCATTAAGCACTGGCAAGAAGAAGAAGAAACAAATAATCAATTAACTGAAAAATGGAAAGTACCTTTCCAAGTCATTTTAGCCTCTCCATCTGCTATTAAGGTATGAGAATATAAGTCTTAAATTCATATTTCCAAGGTTAAGCTATTTTTCAATTACAGAGCAAAACCCCCCTTCTGAAAAAGAAGATAACACCCAATACTCCTGTGAACCTCTCAAAGATTTAAAGCTTCTCTTCAGAAAACAGGTAAATAACATGCTCTTTTTACTTATCCTAACTTCCCTTTTTAGAGAAACCCAGGGAGAAAATACTAGAATAAGACGACCAAAAGGGGAGCCATAGAAAGACAACTCTCTAATAAGACTATCAAGGGCAATAACCAATGGGGCAAACAGACAACTAAACAATGGCTAGACATGCCGTATCTCCACAAGAAAAGGAATCTCTCCCCTTAGCCTATAATGAGACTAGAATAGCAAATAACTCATTGTTTGGTAGCTTTATATCTTTTACTCTTAAAGAGCCCTATATAGCCATACCTTTCATACTGGTACAACCACACACTCTAAATTCAACCTCTTGTTTTTATACTGTCTTTTACAAACATAACCCTTTTAATCCCAATGTTTCTATGTTTGCTTATTCCACATGGGCCACACTTAAGGCTACCATCTTACTCACGCTCTGATAATTATACTTTAGATCCTGATTACCCTCCAAATCTTCCTTCTGCACTGATATTAAACCTCATGTAGGACACCTCCACCACCAGCTGTGCCCTTGAAGGTCAAGCTTTCTCATGTGGATATTCCTCTGAGATCTATATGAGCTCTATCTGCCCTACAGCCACTGGATACTTGACAACTCAATGTCTAAGCCCCTATCTTATTTATGGACAATGCACCCTAGGTTGTATCATTCTCAGATTAACTCTCTATAATCATACCAATACACACGTTCGAACTAGAAGAGGTTTATTAGAAAATATCTTCTGCTGGGGCAGAAAGGAATTTACCTTTTTCATCCCTTGGGCAGGTTACGTTGAACATGAATTCACTGTGTCCAATTTTGCCACCAAATTATAAAAATTATCTAACAAGATATGGGAAGCTTTAAAGGAAATACAAGAATATTTAGACTTGCTAGCAAATGTCTTACATAATTGATTATCTCTTAGCCTGAGAAGGCAGTGTTTGTGCAATCATTAACATTCTCTATTGCACTTACATAAACAACTCAGCTAAGGTTGAAACTTGTATAACCGAAATTCCTAATCATGCCTCTTGGTTAAAAACCCTCCAAGAAACCCAATTACTGACAGGACTGGTAAATGCCTCCTTAGACCAAACGCGGGGACAATGGTTATGGTCTCTTTTCTTGACCATTTTAACTCTCCTTCTTATAGGGCTCTGTACCCTAATTTTTGGCCCTAGCCTCCTATTATATCTAAAAAATTTCAGTAACTCCAGGATTGTGGCCATCCAGGCAAAAATCATGATCACACATGGTTGGCAACAACTTCATATTTCTGACCAATCCACTAGACTAGAAAGGGAAGGAAGAGTTTTCTACTCACTAAGGCAGTTTTAAGACCCTTCCTAGCAGGTAGTAGCTACAGAAGAAGAGACCACCACCCCTTAACCCCATAAAGATTTTTGAGTATGAAATCTCTTAGGAGAGAATGAGACAGGAAAGGGAAAATAAATTGCTGCCAAGTCAAAAATATATAGGAATTTTGTTAAGAAACACAAGATAAACAACTATCTTTAATTGAGCTTAGTCACAGAAATTAAAGGAGAAAAACAAGACCACAGGCATGCTGTTTATTTGACTTGAATGGGATATGCTAAAGTACAAGGACCATTCTGCCCTTCATGCTAACTGGAACTCGGACAAACAAGACCAGAGCGTGCCTGCGGGGAGAAGATAAGAATGGCCATTCTTTAGTGCCCAATAGCCGTAGAAACTTGCGCCAAAATGGAAGAGGCTATTCCTACACCCTCGCCCCCATAAAAAGCCTGAGCACTCACCAGGCATGACTCTTTGGTTCTGATCCCCTGAGTTTCCACCTGCTGAAGAGCTGAAATAAACCTTAATTTTGTTATTGGTGCCCCTGATCTAAGTTCTTTTATTTCGAAGACAAGAACCCAAAGTATTTCCTGTGTGGTTTGGTAACATTTACTACTTAGATGCTTCACTTAGAACAATCTCCCTCATTAGTGTAATTATTTAGATAACCACATTCTGTGACCCAGGGTTAAATCTCATGACCTGAAGTTTCTTTTTTGGATGCTCACTCTCTAGGTGCATAACCTTTGGTAAAATACCTCTGGGTTGTAAACCGTAGTGTGTTATTTGTAAAACAGGAGTCATCTCAGCTATCCCGCCTCCCTCACAGGGTTTTTCCAACCATCCAAAGAGACGAATATGTGAAATCATTTTGAAAAAGGCCCAATAATTCCTCCACAATTATCATTAAAGCTTTAGAACATGACGCTAAATCGACATATATTTATGTCCTAAAGTGTCTGGTGAAGTGTGTGTACACAGTTTTTCCTAAACAAATACTACCTGAGTGACTGAATGAGTAGATTTATTAACTTTAAGGATGCTCTGGTTTTACATTCCCATCTCCCGCAAACTGCCCCTAATTCAACAGGACAGACATGACCCAGACTTGAGGATAACTGGTCCAACATGAAAATACATGTTCAAAGGAATTCTAAGGAACTTTAGACAGTTCATGCTAAAAGCCTCACTTTACTAGGGAAAGGAAATATGCCTTTGGCATTCTCTTGAACTAAAAACCTTGTAGTCTGCAACACGTTTTAAGCACAAGCTCTTAGTAATGTGCTTAACACACTTAAATTGGTAATAATTTTAATTGACTCATCCACAGAAATGACTTAAAGCCTAAGACAACTTGCCCAAGGTAGATGTGTAATAAATACTTGGTAAATTAAGGGAAGGTGTCTACTTGCAGAGTAGAATAACCCAAATGGTTTTAAATTAACTCAATACAATATAGTAGTTAAAATGAATCAACACGGAACAACACTAGTTATGTCTCAAAGGCATGCTGCAATATAAGCAAGTTGCAAAGTAGTATATATGGTATAATAGTATTAACATAAAATATGAAAATAGGAAAAATAATATTTTAGGTACGGATGCACGGTTTGCAGTAACACTATGAGACCATGGGGGATCCTGCGCCCCGTACTGCTCCACACAACTGCAGGGGAAGTTGTCCTCACGCCAAGTCCTCAAAACATGCCTTGGAATAAAATATTCCAGCTCACAATACTTGTACCTAAGAGAAAAACGGTCCCTAAGAAACAGAGTGGAAGCTAATGGACATGGAAAAGGGGAATAAAGGGAATTTAGTTATATTTATAATGTTTCATTATCTAAAAATATGTTTCATTATCTAAAAATATATTTGAGGCAAATATTGCATTTGGTCAGGTTTGAAAATCTATGTGATGGGTACACAGTCCTTACATTTCCTAGGCTTGAAATAGCTCTTCTTATATGAATTCTGACACTATCTAATGAAAAATAATTAAAATTTCTTGGTTACAGTAACAAAGGAGCATTTGTAATCAGAACCTCGTATTTTGATGGTAAGGCTCTAAGAATCTATCACACCGTTAACAAATTCAGAGATAAATATTATGTGTTCTAAAATTAAATAGAAAAGAGATTTATAGAGGACTTTTTTTGATTTCTTATTTTTTAATTGCATTTATTGGGGTGACATTGGTTTGCAAAACCATAGGGGTTTCAAGTGTATGACTCAACAAAACATCATCTGTGCACTGCATCCTGTGCCCACTGCCCCAAGCAAAGTCTCTCCATCCCAATTTTCGGCCCCCTCTGCCTACCTCCACCTACCCCATATCCCACTCTCCCTCTGGCTGTCGCCACACTGTTGTCTGTGTCCATGTGTTTTGTATATATGTTTTTGGCCAATCCCTTCACCTTCTTTCATCCAGTTCCTCTTCCCCTCTCAGACTGTTTCAGGTATAAAAAGGCTTTACATAATTTTATACTCAAGGCTTTTTGGGGAGAGGCTAAAGAAAAGAGAAATTTGTGGCTAGCTCCTAGGAAGCTGATTTTATTTACTTTGGGACTGTAGGTTTATGAGACAATTAGCAAACTTCTAAATGTCAGGTAATTTCCTATCTCAATAAGATGATCCCATCTCTTTTATCAGCTACTAAAATGAAATTCAGAAATGTACAGTTTACATACCAAAATGTCCATCCCGGGGACATACTTGAGGGTTATTTTATAGTCTTTTGGAAGATTTGCCACCTACAGAGACCAAAAAAAAGGGAAAAAAACCGTAAGATAAGCCATACATATCAATTAATATGTTGTTTTACACAAGATTTCTATATTTACATATATAATGATTTTTTATTCTTGATTTCCCTTTGTAATCAAAGCAATCTCTGAAAATAAAGTGATAATAAAAATCTTCTTGACTCCAAAATCAGTTATGGGAGTTTTGGAAACATGATGTGAATTACAGTTTGCATCTGTAATCTTGGAATTCTCTTCCAGGTGTATTTTCCTACTTGTTCCTCCATATAATCAGGAATACAATATATTTTTCTTGCCAGTGGTTCTCAAAGTAATTTGTCAACATTACCAGGGAACCTACTTGAAATATAAATTTTCATTCACACCAGACACACAGATTTTTACTCAACAACTCCCCAGTTCATTCTTATGAGTGCTGAAGTTTGAGAAGTACTATTCCACTTCTGGGCAAGATGGTGGTGTATGCAGACATGGCTTGCCTCTTCATACAACCACATCAAAATTACAAAAAGCATAGAACAACCATCACTCAGAACTGTCAGAAATTGAGTTGAATGGAAGTCTGACAACTACAGAATTAAGGAAACCACATCCATCCAGACTGGTAGGAGGGGCACAGACACAGAACAGGCTGGTCCCTCACCCACATGTGGTGGATAAAAATTCAGGAACAGTATCTTGGGAGTGAGGAGTCCCAGCCCCTCACCAGGACCCCCAGCCCAGGGTTCCAGTGCCAGGAAGATGAGTCTCCACAACTTCTGGCTGGAAACACTAGTGAGCATCAAGTCAGTGGAAGAAACTTCTGGAGTTCCAAGCAGTCCCCGTTAAAGAACCCACACAGGGACTCACCTACTCAGACTCACTCCCTCTGAGCTCCAGCGCTGGGGAAGCAGCTAGAGAGGTCCCGGTGGCACACAGGGAGGAACTGAAGTGTCTGGCATCAAGGCAAGCAGAGGCCATTGCCCCTTTGCTAAACCCTCCCCCAACAGAGCCTTCAAGTTGGTGCCATATTTGAGACTCCATCAGTCTGGCTAACACTGTTTGACATGCCTTGGAGATCCCCAGAGGCTCTGTCCCACCCAACTTATGGACCCACCCAAGCTGCTTTTCCATATAAATAACTGGTCTTGGATCATGCATCACAACTTCCTAGATCCTCTCAAACAAGAAACAACTGTCCTCAGTGAGCCCCAGGCCCAACACTAGCAGCACCCAACCTAGATTCAAAGCTTGGCTTCACCTGGGAATCTTCAATCCCAGCACAAGTAGCAGCCATCTCAGACTGTTCTATAGCTCATGCAGGGTGGCCCCGGGTGGAACACAAGTTGGGGCTAACCTTGGCCTGCACCACCTGGGAAACTCCAGAGCTTGCACACTCAGTGGACAACTACAGACCAAGTCAGAGCACCACCATCCTGCCCCTGTACAGCTGATTCTCCAAAGAGGTTGGTGGTCAGTGGTCAGAGCCAGTCTGTGGTATGGCAGCTGGTATGGCAGCTGACTGACCTGGGTAAATCTGTCCCATGGATCTGCCAACAGCAACACACAGAGGAGGGTGTACTCAGCCCACATGAAGGGGGTACCTCAAGTACCCAGCTTGGGTGATAGGAGAGGCTGTGCCACTGGACCCTATAGGACACCTACTACATTTGGCCATGCTACCAGGACACGGAGTCAAAGCAGCTCTACCTAATAACATAGAAACAAACATAGGGAAGCTGCCAAAACAAGGAGACAAAGAAACATGGCCCAAATGAAAGAACAGATCAAAACTCCAGAAGAAGAACTAAACAAAATGGAGATAAGCAATCTGTCAAATACAGAGTTCAAAACACTGGTTATAAGGATGCTTAAAGAAATTGGTGAGGACCTCAAGAGCATTAAAAAAAGATCCAGTCAGAAACAAAGGACACACTAATTGAAATAAAGAACAATTTACGGGGAAACAACAGTAGAGTAGATGATGAAACTGAGAGACAAATTTATGATGTGTAACATAAGCAAAAAAACAATCCATCAGAACAAGAAGAAAAAAGAATCCAAAAACACAAGGATAGTATAAGCAGCATAAGGGACAACTTCAAGCATTACAACATTCACATCACAGGGGTGGCCAAAGGAGAAGAGAAAAAGAAATAAATTGGAAGTCTACTTGAAAAAATAATGATAGAAAATGTCCCTAATTTGGTGAAGGAAATAGACATGCAAGTCCAGAAAGCACAGAGAGTGCCCAACGAGATAGATGCAAAGAGGCCCACTCCAAGACACAATTAAAATGCCAAAAGTTAAAGATAAAGAGAGAATTTTAAAAACAGCAAGAGAAAAGGAGGTAGTTACCTACAGGGGGCTGTCAGCTGATTTCTCAAAAGAAACTTTGCAGGCTAGAAGGGATTGGCAAGAAATATTGAAAGTCATGGGAAGCAGGGACCTATAGCCAGGATTGCTCTACCCAGCAAAGCTATCATTCAGAATCGAAGAGCAGATAAAGAGCTTCCCAGACAAGAAAAAACAAAAGGAGTTCATCAACACCAAACCATTAGTATATGAAACATTAAAGGGACTTATTTAAGAAAAAGATCAAAACTATGAACAACAAAATGGCAATAAATACACATCTATCAACAAGTGAATCTAATACAGAAACTAAGCAAGCAGGAAGAACAGGGACAGAATCATGGATACAGAGAGTGTTTTGACGGTTGCCAGATGGGAGGGGTTGTGGGGGGAATGGGTGAAGAGATGAGGGGATTAAGAAGTACAAACTGGTGTTTACAGAATAGCCACGGGGATGTAAAATACAGCATAGGAAATGGAGTAGCCAAAGAACTTATGCATGACCCATGGGCATGAACAGTGTGGGGAGCTGCCTGAGGGAGTGGGGGTGCTGGGTGCAGCGGGGCAAAGGGGGAAAACTGGGACAACTGTAATAGCATAGTCAATAAAATATAATTTTAAAAAAGAGAAGTACTGTTCTACATTTTTCTTAGAAAATCAGCAAAATGTCAAAAGAATGCTACTTATGGGATGAAAGTACTTTATAACTTAAACATTTTAGAAAAATTCAATTCTGTGATAGAACTTAACCCACTTACCTAGGGCTGAACATTTGAAATGCCTCAAATATTTACCTAGCTTCTCTTAAAAGCTTTAAAAATATATCTAATAGATTTTCATCAATCATCGTAGAATAAATGGAACAAGCACCAGGTTTGGAACCAGGGAATCTGAAACAGATCTAAACTCTTCACTTTGGTGTCTCTCATCTGTAAATCAGAGATAAAAGTACCCATGTCTTCAAATAGTCTAGAATTGAATAAGGGAATGTGTCAAACACTTCGTAAACACTCAGTCTGTATTGAGAGCAATACTGGCAACTGACTTCCAAGCATACAGATTTCTAGGTTTCCTCATGTCCCTTCCCTACACACAGCCCCAGCTCTGCCATCCGACGCTCCTAGCACTTCAATTCCCACCTGACTAACATAGCCAACAATTGCTACAGCCCATTAGGTCTTAAAATAATATACAACGTAAAAAATTCGTTTTGTACTATTACATCTTTGATCAGTCCACTTTGGCTTTGCAGACTTATCTTTCCTCCATCTTGTCTTTAAAGACGTCACCGTTTCCCACAGTAAGCTGGGATCTCGTATGTTTGCTGCACTAGGTTATCTCCGACGAGTCTCCCATAACACAATCTTGGTTTCTTCTTGGCCTTGCCAACAGATTTAAGAATCTGAGAACAATTTGGTGAGAAAAGTATTCAGGCAAAGGCGTAAGTATAGTGGGCTCTTGAACAACTCAGGGCTTAGGGTGACAGCCCCCATTAAGTTGAAAATTCATGTTACTCGTCAGCCCTCCAAATACACAGATTTTCAACTGTGGAATGAAAATATGTAGTGGAAGGGGAGCCAAAGTCATAACTGAATCCACTATGCCCTCTACCATTCTACCTCCAGTGGTACCAGCTCACACATGCATCTCAGACTTGAGCCTAAGCCCAAATATTCACAATGCGTCACGCACTGTGCTCATTAAGGGTTTACGCTGCATGATCACATCCAATCCTCAGATCCCTGTGACATATTCTCTGTATTTCACAAATGAACAACTGGAGGCTCAGAGGGGTGAAGGAACTTGACTAAGGTCACACAGCTACTGTGTGTTAAGTCTGCACTCAAATACAGGCCTCTGACAGCAAAGCCTCCCTTGCCTCTTAGCTGCACTACACATTTTCATCTACTTTCTGCACATTTGTCCTGGGCATTTTCCACTCATGAGGCTCCCAAATGAATTAATAAAATAGCAGATGCCTTTCTGCTTATAGAAAACATGTCTGGGCTGCCACAGAAGGTGGCATTTTTAATTTAGGAGTTACACTCTTGCTTTTTACTCTTAATTTTCTTCCTTTCCCACTATGCTTTCATACTTTCTTTTGGACCTTCAGTCCCATCTTTGGAAAGCAAAATGACTTAGTCATGACATGTAAGCTCTAGTGGCAATGATACCACTGACACCTTTGCAGGTATAAATGCTGGAATCAGACTGAGCAGCAATATTTTTTCATTATGAAGCAACAATGTAAATTAAAGCCATTCAAGATGGAGAAACACGGCAAGAAGTGGCAACTGTTCTGAACAATCTAGCCCTTCTTTTATACATAACTTACAAAATAAAAAAATACAGAATTGACTAAATTAGTATTCAAATTTGTAATAATAGTATTAGAATACTCCGGATCTGAGTATATACACCTAAAGAGCAGAGAAAATGAAGGGAGATTCTGGCCAATTCCATTTTATTAGTAATTTATATAAAAAAATTGGTTCAAAGAAGTAAAAGGAAACTTACAAATTGTTATCTGACCAACACATTGGAATCTCCACACCTTACCACTTGGAGGGTATATGATAATAAAGTAATTTCTGCATTACACTGATATAACGATGTTTAATTTCTGATAGGGCTGAAAAATAACAACACTTTTG